AGCTGCTCTGCTTGGAGCTGCTAGCAGTTTCCAAGGGCTGCAGTGGGGGAGACAGCCATTCTGTGGGTGGTGGGAGTGGTCCTGTTGGTTTCAGAGGAGGCAACTTGTTAGATACTGGGGAGAGTGGGAAGAGCTGTTAAGGGTTCTTTAAGTGATAGACAGCGCAGGGAAATCAGGATCTTGGTTCAGAACGATGACTAGCTACAGGCTTTATGGGTTGGTTTGTTTATAAGCCCTGTAACACCAGCCCAATGTTATTAATTAAATAATTTATGTCCTTACATACTAGAAATTAAGCCAGTTTTTAGTGATTCTTGTTAAAATATGACATGTCAGGCCCTTCACTGCAGTCACCACGTGCTGCTGACATAATTGCACTGAAAACAGCTGTATCTGGGGCCTGTACCAATCGTTTAGGGTTATAGAACTGGTTGTCTCCTCTGCAATCCCCGTAAAAGGGAGCAGATCTCGAGCAACTCTTCTGGTGTCTCTAATAATCTTCAGGAATGTGGGTGCCTGGTATTTCTGCTGTTCTGAAAAAAAAAATTATGGCAAAAATGCAAGGAGACTATTGAGTCATTGTGCTGCAGCAAAAGAACTCTAAGGGAGAACCAGACTCTGGGGGTTTGATTTAATTTTCCAACATAAATACTGATGCATGTTGTTCAGCTAATTCTAACATCTCTGTATCCTATTTTGCAGAAAACAGAAAGGAGAAGAAAACATTTCATTGTTATTCTGAACTTTTTTGGGGTTTGTGTTAAACTGAATTTGGAAACTATCACGGTAATGTAGTCATGTCAGTGCACTGATCCTTCAGCGTTATAAACGGAAGAGGCTGGGAAAGAATCTTCCCATGAAGAGACAGCAAAATGCAATACATGACTAAGGGAGGTTGGATTAGATGATCTCTAAGGTCCCTTCCAGCCTATGCCATTCTATGATTTTAAAGACTGGATTAATAAATAGCATTTTGGAAAAGGGAATTGGTACAAAGCACACTTCAGGAGTGAAAAGCATTGCCATGAGAAATCTTCCTGCAATTAAAAACCTGATTAAGGCTGCTGGCGATGTTCTGGTGGGTCAGAGCTCTCTCCTTCCCTTTTGAACTAGACGGGAATGCCTCTATTCCCGGCCCTCATGACTGGTAGACTTTGAGCTCAGTGTGATGGGTGTTGCTGTCCTTGTCTTGAATAGGTGGGATCTCCTGAAATGGATATATGTAGGTTGGTGAATGGAAGTAATTTTTTTCTCTCTGCCAGAGGACTGAACATCCTATTCCAGAAAAGATTACTGGTGTCCCAGACTGCTGGGTGTCTCTGTCCTCCCAGAAGAAAGCAATTCCTTAAATGAATACAAGCTAGATATGGGGAATACGCCTTTCTCAGAAGCTCTAGGCTAATAATGCCGTAGATGAGCAGACTTCATCACTGGGATCGTAACTTCCCTGATGCAAGAACACACACGTGTACACACAGAGAACAGGGTTCTGCATTTGGGCAGAAGACACCTAGTAACAGCAAGAACTCCCAGCTCCTGACTGTGTATTGGTATTAAAAGGCCTGTAATTACATGATGGTATGTGTGCTTTTAACAAAATGGACTGGATTTTTAACAAATTTGAGACTGTTGTGAGGGGGGTGTGTTTTAGAAAGTGTGATGAGTCAAACCAGAATAATTTCATTACCTCTCTTTGGGCAGGCCTCTATGGGTTTGAATATTTCAAGCCTCCTTTTGAAAAAGGGGTTCTGAGCAGAGATTAGACTTGGGGCTCCCTGGATCCTCTTGTGCATCTTTGCTTGTTAAGCTAGGAGGAGTGTTTAAATCTATCTTTGCCTTTCTAATCTTGTTAGAGGGGGAAGTGACAACACAAAGCCCCTCCGGTGTATGTTAGTGACTCGACTGCCAAGACAGAACCAGCTGTTCTTCTTTAAAATAGTTTTCCTTTTCCATTTTGTTGTCTTTTCTCAAGATGTTTTGCCTCTCGCAAGGAGGCAGTGTGTGCCAAGAGCAGTTGATGCAAAGCCCATAGCAGCAGAAGCCATCCAACTACTTGATGTCACGAGTCTTTAATGCTGCCACCTCTGTTGATGCCAACAGTTTTGGTTTGGCTTGCAGGTGTTGTGCTTAGAGGATTCTGCATTTCGAGTCCCGTGCCTCAGTTGGGCATGTTTAACTGCAGCCACGTTTCCCATACGTGCTGCTTTTATCTGTGTGAATCAGAAGGGAAGTGGTCTCGGGGTACAGCGTTCTGAACCACATGTTGCTAGTGGTGTGTAGGAAACCAGTGTGTCCAGTACTATTCAGTCCCACTTCTAGAGAGCTCCTGGTTCTTCTAAGTTCCTCTGTCCATTACTTAGGTGGTTTATGCCTGAGTCTTTTAATTGTAAAATCACTTGATGTCTGTTATGCTCTCGCGTTATCATGTAATTGCTCTTTGTTTCTCTCGGAATCTCCATGGCTAGCTGGTTTTTTGGCTTGGATTTTTGCTTGTACAGTCCTTTTGAAGCTTTTTTACCATTAAGCTTGCTGTGTACGGGGGTTTCAGCTTGTGTGTGGCAAGGCAAACACAGCTACATGAGTTATGGGTGTCCGAAGATGATTCGTGTCATCATAAGGTTGCTTAGCAGCTGCCTTAGGCTCCAGTTTTTCTGACTTGTCTTAAGCTGATTGGATGTGTGTGCTCATGCTTAATAGTGTTTAATTCCCTCTATGCGCCATGAGAACAGGTACATGTTAAATGCCTTCTTGGCTCCTTCACCTGCAGTGTTGGCAGTTGTTTGGTTTTGGGAAAGGGGAAGATGGAATCAGGTCACATGACCCACTTTGAAACAACAAAGATGAGGCCCGGAGGCAGGTATCCTCTCTGTTGGCTCCTTTTTTCAGCCTTCCCACAACAGTGTGTTTTTGTTTTTCCTACAGATGCCCAGAGCTTATCCTTTCATTTCCTTTTAGACCAGTGTTGCCTGTTTTGTCTTGTCAAGGCAGACTTAGTACAAAACCAAAAGTTGTTTGTAAAGTATTTCCAACTAATACTAAGTTATCCTTAGTATTCCTTAGCAAGCTTGCCCAAATGCACGGTGAAATCCAGGATAGAAGAAAGCTGTAAACCAAGATGTGTGTCTTGGTGACAAAGATCACAAATTTTCTTCTGACTCATTCATCCAACTGTTAAGATGGCTTAAAAAAGCCTGGAGTGGCAGTCCTGAGTCAGAGTGCACTTCAAATGCACTCGGTTAACCTGAGTCCTGACCCTTAGACTCTGGATGCATGCAGTACTTCTACTGTGGCTTGTTCTGGTACAAATTGTTAAGCATGTTTACTAGATTTTATTTTATTGTGATAATCTTCAGTTAACCAGTAAGCAAGGCTTGTTATTTGCATAGGATTTGGAAGAACCTTTAGTATTTACTAATTACTGTGTCAAGAATAAATTTTCAGAAATGGGTCTAGTCTCCTTTCCATGCTCCCATATATACTGAAAGCATGCAATGCTGCCAGAACTTAAAAAAACAAACAAACAAAAAACCAATGTTCTGCCCAGAAACAAACTGATCAGCTGTTTTGTCTAACCTGAAGTCAATGTAAATACTGAATTCTGAAAGAAAAGGGTTGTGTGCCTCTGTTTCTATACTGTAGTTCAATGATGTCTGGAAGACATCTGTACACCTGTGGGTTCCCCCACCCCATTTCATGCCTGAAGTGTTCTGATATTGCATAAGCTGTAGGAATCAATGTGCCTCACAACACATGAAACTTTATGGGGGATAATGAGATTTTTGTTAAAAGGCTCCTCCTGGTTCTAACGCAGAGATCTCTGCAGAGCCTGGCTGTTCTGTGTGAGGGCTTGTGGTATGGGCATTTGCTTTCACAAGTGTCAACCTGCCCAAACTGCTCCTGTCATCCGAAGGTAGAAACCTGCTGGATGATCTTGTAAAGTTAGTTTTCGATGAAATTTACATTTGTTCTTACTAGATTGCACTTAAACAGCAGCCTACACTGGCTCCAAATGTGTCCTGTTAGTGATCTGGCTGAGCTTAGCGCGTGCATGAAACGGGCCAGGTGCTAGCTTGTGTTCAGAGTGACACTGCAAATCCTGGTAGAAGTCTCCATTAAACAACAACTAGTGCTATTTAGGACACTTAGTGACAGTTAAGCACTCATCATAACCCAGAGGCAGTAAGTTTTCCTGTGGAGCACGTTGGTCTAGACCCTGTTTGGCAATTCTGTATTTGCTCCTTTAATTATTGTAACTGTAGAGCAAGTGAACCAGTGACTTTGCAGGGTGAAGGGGTATGTGGGACCAGATGGATCTTGCATTCCCAAGAACTAAGGCTCAGCATCAAATTGTAGAGATAAATGCCTGTTTTCTTTCTGTAGAGGATGCTATTTGTAATGGAAGTAGAATCTGTATACGTGTGTGGAGGACAGAAGATGTGATTTCATGCAATAGCTGTGCTGATCTAATAGCTGCTGCTACACAAGTGCTTTTTTGAGCTGTTGGAGGGAACTAGCTTGGCATAAAGCTTATTAATGTTTTTTAATTTTTACAGAATTAGTCTTCTGTCAGCCTGGCTCCCAGAATCAGTTTGTTAAAGGGTGTTGAGTGCCTGAACATGTGGGTGGGAGTAGTATTGCCCTTTCAGCTCCTGGCTATCTGATAGTTGAGCTGTAACATGAAGCTCTGAGATAAATAAACGAAAACCAAGGTCAGCCTTCATCTAGTAAGAGCACGGTTCCAGTTAAATGGAAGCGAGCTGCTGGATTCTGCTTTTCTCCAAGTCCTTGTCCAAGATGCTCTTTGGGTGGAGCATGGCAACAGGTTTTCCCCACTGCTCCCAAGTGTTCTGAAACTGGAGTGGAGAAGAAATTTATTTCTTCTCCACATTTCTCTCCAGATGTTAGTGACATCATGTGTATGATGTCATGTGTATGACCTCTGAGTCTGCAGAGTCCATGGGTCTGTTATGCCCCGAGTATCATCACCTTGCCTTCCTTCCCTGCTGACGATGCTCTCTGCCCACGCAGTTCCTGAGGGTGACGAAGCAGTACCTGCCTCACGTGGCCCGCCTGTGCCTGATCAGCACCTTCCTGGAGGATGGCATCCGCATGTGGTTCCAGTGGAGCGAACAGAGGGATTACATTGATGGCACGTGGAACTGTGGCTATTTCCTGGCCTCCATCTTTGTGTTCATAAATCTCTTCGGACAGCTGAGTAAGTGGCTCTAAGGCTGTTAAGGTGGATGCCAGAGTGCTCCAGTGTGTCTGCCACCCTGGCTCATGTAAGCACTGTGAATCATGTAAGCATGGGATGCCTCACTGGCTTCTTAATAGCCATGGATAGCTTAGAACTGGTAGTACTACCCAAGCTGAATGGAAGGAACTCTTAATTGACCTGCTTCAGCCTTTCCTGGAAGCAGTCTTAGAGAATTTCTTGTGACACCACCTCTGAGTTGGAGATGCTGAGTCCATTAGGACAATCTGTGTTCAGTTCTGTACGTACGTCTATAAACATGCCCTGAATTCCCTAGATGAAATGATCATATTCTCTTACACAGGGCAGTGTAAAGACTTCCTCAGCCTGCTGGGCTTATGGGTATTAATCTCAGTGGCAAAGTCTTATCCTGCAGTTGGTACACTTAAGCCTGAGAGGTGCTTGTGTCAGATTTTCAAAGCCCGGGAATCAAAATAAGCCCAGAAGCAGAGCTTCTGTATGCGTGCCAGATGGACTTAGGATATCAGAAATGGAGAGAAGTAAAATTCTTCTCTGTTTATATTATGTCCTTGATCTACTGTTCTTTGCTTTGCCAATTTCTTGTCTTATGCCTGGGTTTAGATTTTTTTACCCTCGTATTTTTGTGTAGAGAGTCATCTTAATTTAATGTAGTTACCAGTCCTGATGTCAGAGTGGCAAAGGCTGTCAGTGCTTTGTGACAGAAGACTTGAGAAAGGATATAGAACAAAAGCTTTCAAGTAAAAGGAGTGCAGCATGTTTGCCCTAACAGTTATCTCATTAAAAAAAAAGAAAATCCGTGGTAAGTTGAGTTTCTTTTTAGCTTCTTTACAGCAGCTATCAGTGTTAAAGCATTAACAGTGCTGTGTGGTGGGGACTACATTCAGCATGTGCTTACCCCTTTGTAAAATAAAAGATACTCTTGGAATTATAAAACACTTTAAAACGCACTAAAAATTCCTGGTTCTCAAACTTGTTGTGCCACTGTGCCGTTAAAACTTCCTGCTTGATGTTCTCTATGGCACAGTTGAAAGAAATGGGAGTCTGCTCAGTTCGAAACGAGTTAGTGTTCCTGCAGCACCTTTTCCTGTGCAAGAAGTGTAACTGTGTTCAATTTCCCCAACTCAGGCGGCTGTATCCTGGTGCTGAGTAGGAACTTTGTGCAATATGCCTGCTTTGGACTGTTTGGAATCATAGCATTACAGGTAGGAGGCTTAAGTCTTCACCCCTTCTAAACCATACCTCCCATATCTTCTTTCTTAGCCTCAGTACCACCACCATAATGAAATAAAACTTGCAGTCCTGAAATTTTTCTCTACCCTGGCCTAATGCCAGTCCTCAATGTCATTGAACTGTTTTGCTGCTTCTGTTCTTGTGGTGTGCCCAATAGATCTTTGGCTGTAATTGTAATTAGTCAGCTGGAGATGTTGATTCAATACTTAACCAGTTTAGCAGAAGTCAATTTACCTGTATGTCAGTAAGGTGCCTTCAGTGCACAGCTTTTGTAAGGACTGTCCCCATCACAAGGGATTGTAGCTAGTAGCATCCTTCCTGTTCAAAACCGATGTGGGCACTGAAGCACAAGTAAATTGTGCCTTTTATTTCCTGTTTTAGACTGACTCATCAGACCACACTGATGTAACCTACTTTGTTTCCTTCAGTGAGTAGAACATGCTTCTAATTGACTTCTGCTATGGATAGTACAGGCTGGAGATAATAACACGAGTTCAGAACTTCAGTGTCATTGATATGGTGCTTTAACCTGTGTTTTCTTTGCCTAGACTATTGCATACAGCATCCTATGGGACCTGAAGTTCTTGATGAGGTATGTCTACTTCTTAAAGTTTTCATCAAAACAGAATGAAAACTGTTGTCTGTCACTGTCTGATAGAGGAAATTACCTTTTCTAGAAAGATTTTACAAATGATGCATTTACATTAAACAAGAAACAACAGTGTTTAAAAAAAAATAATCAGTACAGTCTGTTAAACCATAGACAGTGGGCTCTTCACTGTAGCAGGGAAAGACTAATCCTGACCTGCTAGGATCTAAGTGCTTCTGCTACTAAACTCCTTGCTGAGAGCTCACAAACAATTGTCTGGACTGGATCAGTGAGCTGCTCTTTCCTAAACGGCTAAAATAGTAACCGTATTTATGCATGACTGAAGCCATTTTGCAAGAAAACTAAAGCATGTAGGTATTAGAGTGGTTTCTGGGATTTTACATCTCTAACGCCTTCTCTGAGTAGAAGACAAGGTTCTTAAGCATGAGCTTTCTTGTGATGGCTGGTTTTTACCTCTTCACCCCTCTCCTCTGAGGGGAGGGCAGGGGGCAGCACAGGAACTGTACACTGGGCTTACTACAACCCTGTAAATGTGTAACTTCTTTCAGCAGTACTGCTGCTCTTTTTTTTTCTCAAAGCAACCTCTGAACTACTGTGGCTAATCCAGAGGCACAGAGTAACTTCAGCACAGCTGAATTCATGCTGTAACACACGCCAAGCAGCTGTGTCTGAGTCTGGCAGGCTGCATGTGTCTGTGGGCTTGTGTAAATTGCTGTCGTGTACCATGCTGGTAGTTCAGCTGTGAAGTGGAATGCAGACCCCATAGCAAGGTGCAGAGTGTGTCACTCCTCACTATCATGCAGGTTCTTAATGAGCTGAAGTTGTCAGATAAGACTTTAAATCTATGGATCAATGCAAACTGTAATAAACTGCCTTTTTTTTTTCCCTATTTCTGTCTGTTTGTAGGAACCTTGCCCTTGGGGGAGGCTTGCTGCTGCTTTTGGCTGAGTCACGCTCAGAGGGGAAGAGCATGTTTGCTGGTGTCCCCACCATGCGGGAAAGCTCTCCAAAGCAGTACATGCAGCTGGGGGGCCGTGTGCTGCTGGTCCTCATGTTCATGACACTGCTGCATTTTGATATGAACTTCTTTTCTGTAAGTATCCAAGTATGAGTTAAGGAACTAGAATATAGAGCCAACTTCCAGATTGGCTGCAGGACCTAGTCAATGTTTAGCATTTAAGTCTATTTTTTAGTAGAATTAATATTTAGAAAAGTTGTTAAATCATCTGTGCCACGGCAACTTGTTCTGCTGAACTTATCCATGCTCTATTCTGATGTTGGTGTATCTATTTTAAGACCCATTTGTGAGCTTGTGGGTTTTTTCCTTGCAGATTCTGCAGAACATTGTGGGCACAGCCCTGATTATCTTGGTGGCAATTGGCTTCAAGACTAAGCTGGCTGCCTTGACTCTAGTCATCTGGCTGTTTGGCATCAACATCTACTTCAATGCCTTCTGGACCGTCCCAGCCTACAAGCCCATGCACGACTTCCTCAAATACGATTTCTTCCAGACCATGTCTGTAATTGGAGGGCTTCTCCTTGTCGTTGCACTGGGCCCTGGTGGAGTCTCCATGGATGAGAAGAAAAAAGAGTGGTAACAGGAATAGTAACACTTCTTGGGACATAACATATTATTAAGTCCAGAACTGATTCTCTATGGATTCAACAAAAACTGCCAGCATTTTACACGTACATGCCCCCTTCCTGTTAAAGGCACAGATGTTCTGAATTTAATTTACAGTGGCACCAGTAATACAATAGATAAAAATCCTATTTCTTCAAGGAATGTTGCCTAGGCTTATTCTAACTTCCTAGATTTGGAACTAACCCAAGGAACCTGCATTTTGCTGATGCTTCAGTGAATTGCAGGAGAACAGTTGCTGTCTCTGATGTCAGCAATGTTTTAAAATTTTAAGTACTGTGAGCTGATACAGCTGTATCGTTCAGTGTGCTGTTGGGTTCTAGCTACAACTAAAAAAGTGGATCCCCTTCCTCACCCTTATCAAAACTGTCTTGTGCACAAGGAGTTCCGTCGCTGGTTATAGCATTGCTTATCAAGGTGGAAATTAGCATCCAAAAAGAATAATCACTGTTATTTTGCTGCTCAGAGGCTTGTAATTCCATTTTGCTTAACGTTTGGGGGCAGGAAATACCTCCCCTCTTAAAAGGCAAGAAGAAAACCCCAGAACTAGTTTTACCTCCCTCTAGGTAAAAAAAGGGAGAGGGTTTTCTAGTGTGTCTGTTTCCCCTCTTGAGGGGAATGAGGGAGAATCCTGTATTGCTAATCAGGAATTCTGTATGGCTAATCAGATTTTTAAGAAGGAGGGGAGATACTTCTGAAGAGACAGAATGTTAGATTCTGTTAAAATTATGTGCCAAAAGAACTGTTTATTCAGCATTCTTTCCCGAAAGTTGCCCCTCCGACAGTTGAATTCCCAAGAAGGGAGCCAAGTTGTGCTGCGGGTTCCACAATAAAAACTCCCTTCTGCTATTAACCAGCTTTGATCCATAAATGCCCTAAATTCATATCTGAATGGCAGGTTATTGGTGAAAGTGTCTTCAGAATTACAGAAACCCCCTTTTCCCTGCACTCGGTACCTGCAAGATGAGAGCGGTCAACCTTCCAATCTGTACTCTTTGCTTCTTGGATTCACTTCTGTCAGCCTCTCAACTGGAAAAGTCCCAGTTGACCCAACAGCTGAAGAGGTGGGGTGCTGAACTCTCCAGTGCAGCACCTTCTCTCTGCCATCTGTAACCACACCGGAGATGTGTAGGGAGGAAATGTGGGAGTCAGCTGTGTGCTGCCATAGCCCCAGTTCTCAACTCCAGTATGCAAATGGTTATAGCTGAAGAATGCAAGTGCAAAGCCTGTGCAGTAAGCAGCCAGGGATGTGACTTGTATGTTCAGAGGGATGGACACGTCAGTGTAATGGTGAGGAGACAGGAAGGCCCTGTTTTCACCTCTGTGCCATGAACATGCTTAGTGCTGCTCAGAGGAGACGTTTTGTCCTCTGCTAGTAAACTAGGTGAACCTGTTTCACTAGATCATGAAAGAATTCTAGAAAGCATGAGCCCTGCCAACTTGCTCATGTTTCATGGATTCCTTGCACTGTTGTCTCCCTTGGGAAAGCTGCTCAACTGTTCAAGGAGTAATTCAGCTGAACGCCTCCAGCGGGAGCTACTTACCAGGGTCTTCTGGTGAGGACACGAACCTGGAGAGTTCAGTTCAACAGTTCCTTTTTTTAGGAGTAAGCTAGGCTGAAAGAACTGACAAATAGAGCACTGTTGAATGTAAGACCAGTGATTTCATCATCCTGAGGGGAGAACAGCCTATGTAATAGCAAGATGTGCTGCTGCTGAAGGAAATAAATTGGGATGTGGGGGTAGATGGGAGGGGAAGCCAGCATTCAAGTTCAGGTCACATGGAAGGCTTTCACTGCAGTAGGTTTTGCAAGAGAAGTTTTCACCTTGAGTGTTGACTGTGCCTGTCTCTTCATAGTGAAACTAGCTGGTCCTTTCAGTTACGGATACTCGGCACAGGTTTGCTCAGCTTCACTGCAGGTCCTGGAACGGTTCCAGATGACATCAAGGCAGCTAGTCTCACATCTTGGCTGCTGCTGATGTTCATAGTATTTATAAATGGAAGGGTAGAGTTGAGTCCTGTAAGCAGCCCTTAAGTTGGCTCTCTCAACTTCTTTGTGTCCTGCCTAACTAATAAGCTGGATGATGCACTAGTCTGAAATATTGACCAGTCTCCCTGTGAAAATTGAGTCCCCTTTCCAACAAAAAACCCAGAAAAGGAACTGATTCTGGCCCTCACAGCAGAACTATTTTGGTATTGAAGGGGCATGGTTAGGTGGAGGGCATTATAAGATCTTCCTAGGCAGCACAATATGCAGACTTACTGTGGGTCCTGATGCAGAAGATTCTGGTTCCCTACGTACACTGCTGTATTTGTGCATCTCCCAAAAATACAGTGACCTCTCCCTGTGGCTGTGAGAAGCTCTCACAAGCAGGATGTCAGCTATCAATTGGCTCTGCAAAGTGTTCTGGAATTCATTCTGAATATATTTTTGCTTTCTATGTGGAAAAAGAAATAAGTATAAATCCTCATTTTATGCTGTATTTTGTACCTTAGTTGTGTTTGAAAATGTTTTGATTTTTGGAAACAATCAAAATAAAAACAATGGCATCTTTGTATCCACTTGGCGTGTGTGACTGATGGCACTCCACGGAAAGGCTACCTGGAAATGCTGGTTAGTGGTCTTGTGCTTTCTATCCCACCTACTGAAAATCATTTTTCCATAAAGAGGTCCAAGCCTGTACTTGACTGCAGCAGTCATCCTCCCCTTGGTGCTGGGGGTGGCTTGAAGCTGTTAAATACAATTTCATTCCACCCCACTATTCCCCTCCCCAGCTGTAACAGTTAATACCTCAGACAGTCTTGGGTACCTTCTAGAGTTGTTACACAACAGGCTTCAGGCCGTGTATTTATCACAATTTATTTGCCGTTGGTTGCTTTCTTGAAGTTCTTGGGTTTTCGATGACGGCTCTTGAATTTCTTCTTTAAAGGGCCTGACTGTTTCTGTATAGAGAAAAGAAGTTTATCAGCTTATTTCCAAAACTTGAATCAAAGGCTCAAGGTGCCTTAAAGGGAACTGAGTGTGGTGTCTGTCATGGAGAGACAGAACAAGCACGGCCCTGGCTGCAGAGCCTGCCAGGACCTCTCCTTGCCCTATGCTGCAAGTTACCATCCCTTCCTCCAGCTGGCAGATGATTTAATCAGATACAAACAGGGACAGTCTCCCTCTGGAATTGAGCCTCAGCTCCATCCAGCCTTCACTTTCCAGTTTGATCCAGCTCTTCCCTCAGGGGCTGGTGTAGGGAGTTAAAGGTTTGTCTAACTCTGTATGTAACATCTTCCTGCTTCCCAAACTGAGAAAGATCAGGGTATATCCTGTGAGGTGGGACCTGCCAGCTCCTCAAAAGAGGCAGAAAAAGGGTCTGGAAGGACCCTGTGACCTCAAATTTGTGTGTACATTGGTTACAAAACCCACCAGACACGCTTCAGTCTCCCCGTGAAGGCAGCAGCAGCAGGATCCCACCAAAGATGAGCTATTTCTACAGGCAGGAACATCCCCAGTTAGAGCAGACAGGATAAACGTTTCCTGGCAGTAATTCACACCTCAGGATGGCACATGGGGAAAGTCTATTCTCCTGAAAAGCTCTGCATCTTCTGCTGGTTCTCAGGCAGGAATACACCAAACGCCTACGAGATCTTGGCTCCACATTCCCCTGCTGCTGCACGCAGCAGCGTAACTCCCACCTTTCCCCTCTTGTTGCCAACTGCTCTGGTGACATCTGTTCTTCCACCGTCCTCTCCCTTCACGTCACTGTTCCGCTTGGCCCCGTCATCCTCGCTGTCTGTTGCAAAGTCATCGCTGCCCTTTGTGGTTTGTGGAGCTGCCGGGTTTTTTTCTGGGAAGAGTGCAGCTAAAATACAAAAGATTCAGCTCAGGATCAGTTCCCTCTGCCTCCCCCTAACTTTTCCTTGAAGGCATTTAAAGGCCATTTGCCCAGCCACTTCCAGTCTCTGAGCGTATACGTGTCACTACTGCAACACCTGGGAAATAAACACACTGGTGTGTTTGGGAATGTGCCTGGTGCTCTCACTCACCCCTTCTGGGAACCGTTCAGCACAGGCAGTTCTGTGGTTACGCTTCCATCGGACTCGAGGCCTTCCTGAGGAACGAGGAAAGCAGCAAATCCCAGCGGATCGCGTGTCCCTCCCCTCGCACCGTGTACGATCCAACTCTGGTTATTACTTAGTGATAACTGCTGGTTCTTATTTGGCAGCGTCAAGCTTTTCTGAAACCCAAGAACTCCCACCCGGGTGGAGTTCACATGCCTCCGGCACACGAGCATCAGGGAGCAGTACAGATGAGGCAGGAGAAGATGAACTGACAAACTCCCTTCAGGACACAGATGATACCAACGTTATTACTCACGTGGGTACAGGTCGCTCATGCTGTCATCTGTCTCCTCTCCGTCCTCATCGCTGGACTTGGGCTCCCAGAATTCCTCTTTTTTGTAAGGCTGCCTGCTCCCGTTCCTTTGGTTATCGGGGTGCTGCGTCCGCTGCTGCTTGTGACGCAAGCAGGCAGGGATGTACTCCACTCCTTCCCTCTGGCACTCCTCATCTAACAGTGGGAGGGGAAAGGCCACTCGGTCACCTTATTCCTTTACATTTCCAGCTCTAGCTTACATCAAAAGCAACTCAAAACTATGTCAAGCTCCAACTCCAGTATACACCATAATGCACAGGGTGCTATGAACCATGACAGACAGGAAAGATTTAACCCAGAGGCTGCTGGATGTGCGAACCACCCTCTCTGGGGAAGTTTTAGATCGGCTCCTCTCAAGTAAGGATGTTCCAAGGTATTTGCTAGAGGCCAACTGCACTCTACAGCTGGGATTTTCCTTCCTAGCTGAGGAGCACACACAGCAATGGCAATACGTTACTGTCAATCTAAAGAAAGTTTACCCCCTTCCTTCATGCGGAGCTACTGGAATCTCACCAGCTCAGGGAAAAAAACTGTCTGCTTGTGTCTTCAGAAAAGCTACTTACATGTTTTTAGGGCCTTCTGATAGCGCTTCCCTCGGACGTGACGCAGCACGTGCTCTGGAAACTTGTTGATGTGTCTGAGCGTGAGCTTGCAGAACAGCTGGTGTCTGACCAACACAGAAGGAGCCAGCAGCAGAGTCTAAGCGTGCTGTTACTCAATA